TGCACACACCACTTGTTGCCAATGCCAGAAAATTGGTGAACACGAAACGGTATTGTTCCAAGTCTTAACAATAAAATTTGGAGATCATTTTAGATTATGGAGAGGGGGGTGTTTTTTTTTTGTTGTTTTTGCTTTGTTTTGTTTCTTGGGTTTTTTTCAAGAAAGAGTGGCGTCTTCCTCCAGGAGCACTAATCTTTGTAAGATGACTTCACGAACCGACTTCCGACTCATCAAATGGCACCAGGCCCACGTCCAAAAAATATACGTCTTTAACTTCAAAATCCAAAAAAATTAATCATTCCGAGAATGACCTGGAAAATTTAAAGCTAAATCAAGATTGTTGTTGTATTGGTAGAATTACATGTATGTTTGTTGTTGTGAAGGTTGAATAATGTTGTTGTTGTGAAGGTTGAATTATGTTGTTGTTGTGAAGGTTGAATTATGTTGTTGTTGTGAAGGTTGATTTATGTTGTTGTTGTGAAGGTTGAATTATGTTGTTGTTGTGAAGGTCATCAACATCATAATCATCAGTGCCTTTCACCCCTGGCAGGGTATAGGCCACATACAAGCTCCTTCCAATTATCTCTGTCCTGTGCCATCCTTCCTAGCTCGTTCCAAGTGAGCTTCATCTTTCTCGTGTCCCTTTCCTCACATCTCATCCATGTTTCCCGTGGCCTACCCCTGCCTCATGCACCCTGCGGGTTCCATTGCAATAACTGTCTTGAGATGTTTCCGCTGGGCTTTCTGAAGGTGTGTCCCATCCAACGCCACTTTCTTAGTCCTATTTCTACTTCTATATTATCCTTTTGTCATGTCTGTTGTGAAGGTAGAAGGTAGAATTATGTTTGTTGTTGTGAAGGTAAAAGGTAGAATTGTGAAGGTAGAATTATGTTTGTTGTTGTGAAGGTAGAATTATGTTTGTTGTTGTGAAGGTAGAAGATAAAATTATGTCTATGTGAAGGTAGAATTATGTTGGTCTATGTGAAGGTAGAAGGTAGAGTTATGTTTGTCTATGTGAAGGTAGAAGGTAGAATTATGTCTATGTGAAGGTATAAGGTAAAATTATGTCTATGTGAAGGTAGAATTATGTTTGTCTATGTGAAGGTAGAATTATGTTTGTCTATGTGAAGGTAGAAGGTAAAATTATGTCTATGTGAAGGTAGAATTATGTTTGTCTATGTGAAGGTAGAATTATGTTTGTCTATGTGAAGGTAGAAGGTAAAATTATGTCTATGTGAAGGTAGAATTATGTTTGTCTATGTGAAGGTAGAATTATGTTTGTTGTTGTTTATGGTAGTCTTTGTTGTTGTGTAGAGTAGGGTGATGGTTGTTGTTTGTTAATGTTGTTGTTCGAAAGGAACCTTATACTGTGAGTTGGTTTGAGACATGCACACGTACATGCACACCAAGAGCGCGCGTGCGCACGCGCACGCGCGCACACACACACACACACACACACACACACA